AACAAATGTTCTTTCCTGGGTTCTTCTTTCTTTCTTTGTGATCCACTTCCTGACTTTTGAAGTACTTTGCAGTCTTGGCCCTAACCAGAAATCTTTGTTGCTAACATGTTGACTCAGTAAAATGAAACCTCAATACAGAGGAGACAATATGATCTCAATCCTTAACTTCAGGCAGTGGTGGCAGTACGTTTTTACCCCCAGAGAATCTATTTCTAGGAACTTATTTCTCTTTTCTACCTCCCTCTGACTCCCATCCCAGTGCCAATTTGACGACTTGGGAGATAGATGGAGGGAGAAGGATGCTATGCCTGTATCTAGAGCAATTCCCCTAAATTTAGACAAGGCACTGGGAAGGCTGTGTCTTGGGGCAAATCTTAAAGTGTTGACTCATGCTTTTCAATCTTCCAGCTATGTTGAATGTATTTGAAAGGCTAGTTGGGTTTCCATGACGCTGTGTTTTGAATTTAAGTTTGAATAATAGGGGAGAATTGGTCAGGGACCTGGATACTTATAAAAGGTCACAGTGATCCTGTGGATCAATAAAGAACTATCATAAACAGAGCTTTCTATGAGCAAAGTTACAGGCATGATTCTAATAGAGAAAGATGGCTGACTTAAAACTGATTCAGAGCTGAGTCAATGTTTGATTGGGGTTCTTTATTTAGACTCTGGAAATAGTTCCAAGAGAAAAAGGAGGCATTGACTAAGTTACAGTATAAGAGACAGTATGTTTAGCTTTATATTCACGTATGCACAATTGAATGTCTTTCACTGGGATGGTTTTATAGTCACATTTCTGAGAATAGTTCTATCACTTAAATAGCCATATATGTATATATATTTTTTAAACTTTTCTTCTGTCCACTAATATTAAACAGTTGGTAAGAAAACTCTTAGATTAGATTGCATCACCAATTCCATGGACATGAATTGAGCAAACTCTGGGAGATCTTGGAGGACAGAGGAGCCAAGCAAGCTTCCGTCCAGGGGTTGTAAAGCGCCGGGCATGACTTAGCAACTGAACAGCAACCACCACAACAAAAGAAAACTCTGCATTGCATCTTAAAATGAAAATACAAATAAGTTAGATTGCCTTGTTGTATGTGTATTTGGTGGTATTTGTTTGGGTTAGTCTTTTGGGTGATTTGAACAGGAAGATCCAGAAGAACGAGATAAAGGCTATGTATTTGCTCTGGGAAGAGTTCCCAATTGCTGAAAGGTCAGCAGGAAGCTGACCTGAACTGGGAAACTGAGGGTTCACAGACTCTGAGCTGCTGAGGCCAGGGCTGGTCCCTGGGCAGAGCCAGTTGGGTTCTGACAGTCAAGGAACAGGAACAACGTGATGAGGGCAAGGCCACTGCCATCCTTGACACCATCACTGTGTCTAACCATCCCACTGTCTTTGAGTCATTTCCTTGGGGTTTAGAGAAGAGCTTCGGTCACCTGTCTGGGCCCTGGCTTCCAGGATTGCTGAAAAGTGATGAGGGGAAAGGAAAGGAGAAGATCTGAGGAGGAACTGACTCTTTCAGTTTCCTTAGGTTGGAGGATGAGGAGACAGATACTCTGAACAAGTGTGTACAGTGGAGAGAATTTCCCCAGAACAGGAATTGGCCTTGGGTTTTGGACAGCTCCCCTTGCAGACCTCCCCCATACTCCATTTTCAAAGAGAAAATGTGTTAGAAAGTGAAAGTGAAAGTCACTCAGTTGTGTCTGACTCTTTGTGACCCCATGGACTATGCAGTCCTTGGAATTGTCTAGGCCAGAATACTGGAGTGGGTAGTCTTTCCCTTCTCCAGGGGATCTTCCCAACCCCGGGATTGAACCCAGGTCTCCCACATTGCATGTATCAGAAGACTCCGGCTAGTAAAAATTCCATATGCCCTTTATTGATTTATTAAATTATTATAGAACTCATAACATTGTTCTAAGCAGGGTTAATATATTGTAATAATTTCTAGCATTGTGTATTTTTGTAATACAACTCAGTTAAAAGTATATACCTCTATACAATTAGCATCATGCATTGAGAAATAAAACGTGTGTTTTAGGGGGTGATGTCATTTCTTCAGCTTCAGATATCTTCTTTGTTTTAGATTGAACCAGCAATAGCTAGCAAAGAGTTTAAGTGCTTTATTTAATAGGAACTTTTCTCCACATCCTCTCCAGCATTTATTGTTTGTAGATTTTTTAATGATGGGCACTCTGACAGGTGTGAGGTGATACCTCATTGCAGTTTTGATTTGCATTTCTCTAACAATTAGTGATGTTGAATATCTTTTCATGTGTTTGTTGGTCATCTGTATGTCTTCTTTGGAGAAGTGTCTATTTAGGTCTTACACACATTTTCTTTGATTGGGTCGTTTGTTTTTTGTTATTGAGGTGCATGAGCTGTTTGTATATTTTGGAGATCAATCCCTTGTCAGTTGTTTCTTTTGCAAATATCTTCTCCCAAATACACAAGAACCCCTGACCTTTGTACTCTTAATACAGTATTTCGATTGTTTTTTTGAATGTTCATAAAGCTTTTATTTTTTTAACTTGATTTTATCAAAGTCTAGTTGCTTCACCATGTTGTGTTAGTTTCTAGTGGTAGTAGTCACTTCAGTTGTGTCTGACTCTTTGTAACACCACAGACTGCAGCCTGCCAGGCTCCTCTGTCCATGGGATTCTCCAGGCAAGAATACTGGAGTGGGCTGCCATTCCCTTCGTCAGAGGATCTTGACCCAGAGATCGAACCCAGGTCTCCTGCACTGCAGGCAGATTCTTTACCATCTGAGCTATGGGGAAGTTTCTACTGCACAGCAAAATGAATCAGCCATGCTTATACATATATGAAGTGAAGTGAAAATTGCTCAATCGTGTCTGACTCTTTGTGTGTGACCCCATGGACTGCAGCATGCCAGAGTCCTCTTCCCATGGAATTTTCCAGGCAAGAATACTGGAGTGGGTAGCCATTCCCTTCTCCAGGGGATCTTCCTGATCCAAGAATCAAACCAGGGTCTCCTGCATTGCAGGCAAAATCTTTGCTGGCTGAGCTATCAGGGAAGCCCCACTTTTATGTATATCCCCTCTCTTTTGGATTTCTGTACCATTCAGAGCACCACAGTACTTTAAGTTGAGTTCCCATAATGCAGTATGTTCTCTTTAGTTATCCAATTTATACATAGTATTAATAGTATATGTATGTGTCAATCCCAATCTCACAGTTCCTCTCACCAGCACCCTTCCCGCCTTGGTATCCATATATCAAATAGTATTTCTTTAACTGTGAATGCCATCAGCTATTTCACATTTAGGAGAAATCTCATTTTGTATTCTTGTATTCTATCTAGTGCAACCATTTGGATTTCATAAATGAGAAAATTTAATTGGTAGCCAGTGGACCAGAGAGAGAAATTCTGTTGCAAAAAGGGGCAAGTTTCACATTGCTTTCCTCACAAAGATTATGCTGGCACAGGATAACCTTCTGATTGATTAAAATGTTGCTCTGAATCATATAATGTTTTCCATAAATCTGCCACCAATAATAGTTTGCAGTAGTCAAACAATAACACTTCAGTCATTCAGATTCAGTGGTTTCATATGTCTCTTATCCTGACGTCTCTAAATTTTGAACTACTTTGGAGTTCTGCTGATTTGAAATTAAAATTTACTAAACAAGCGCTCTCTTCCAAAATCTTACAAATTGGGTGGCAGTATTCAAATTATGAAGGTGAAGGACAGGGAAGCCTGGTGTGCCACAGTCCATGGGGTTGAAAAGAATCAGACACAACTAAGCAACTAAACAACAATTCAAATTATTCTAGAGACCTCTTTATTTTATACAAAGATGAGATTTTCATGTACTACCAAGTATTTTTTATTTTTTAACAACCAAATGATTGCAAATGGCTATTTTAGGGTCAAAACTCAGTAATGTGTTTTGACACATTTTAATTGTGTTCAATGATTCTTTTTCCCCATAGTTTCATCCATGATTTTCTTTCCTGTTAGCAATGTGTTTCTCTGGATACTAAGAGGAATTGAAGCAAACAGACTTCCATTTGGGGAAATGTTGTCCTAAAGGTTGTCCTATTCTGTGCTCACTCAGTTCACTGGCATCAGCTAAACTACTAGAGCTCCTGGCAGCATAGAAATCTGCTGGCTGTAGGGAAAGATGGCAAAGTCAAGGTCAGTTTTCTGGAGTTCCTCAATGATCCTGGACTCCTGCTCTGCAGACAGGGTTCTCTTGATTTCATCCACAATTTCAGTATCTTTATGTTGGGCAACTCAAGTTCTTCAGTGGCCCAGCCTCCCGCTATGGGTCACCAGTCCTGTGGTTACTTCCCATTGGCATGGCTGATGGAATCCAGACTTCTCTGTGCATCAGGCTCTTGAAATGATCCAGCAGTCCCTGCTGCCCATCACTCCCAACACAGGGAGCAGAGAGGTAAATCAGAGAAAACTCAGCCTTTCATTCAGTCTCTGGTTCTCAGTTGGCCTTTCCTGATTTCCTTCGGCCTCCAATGACACAAGTGTGAAAGTTGCTCAGTCGTTTCTGACTCTTTGTGACCCCATGGACTGTAGCCTGCCAGGCTCCTCTGTCCTTGGAATTCTCCAGGCAGAAATACTGGAGTGGGTTGCCATTCCCTTCTCCAGGGCATCTTCCCAACCCAGGGATCGAACTGAGGTATCCCACATTGCAGGAGGATTCTTTACCGTCTGAGCCACCAGGAAAGCCCAAACTATACTAGTCTGCTCTTCTTTTCATGGTTGATCAGTTTAATGTGTTTACATTCCTTGGTAGTGTCTGACTAAGGCTTTGTGAAAAACTGGAAGTTAAAAGCTTCTGACTTGGATAACTTGTACAGAGGCATATACAGGATTACAACCCATTCTGCTCTTCACATCATGCATACATTGTACTCTATATCCTTCCTGTGTGTTTTAATCAGCTTAAATTTCTAATTGCTCAGCAGTCACTTGATGGAAACCATGACATTATTATGTGCATTTTTCAGATGGAGAGACTGAGGTCCTGAATTTGCACTGCGTGTGCTGTGCACTGTGTGTCTGGGAGACGGGGTTGGAGCTTCAATCCAGAGCCCCTGGGTGTCACCCCAAAAGGCTGTGCTGCTTATCGGTGGAGGACACCTCCTCTTCATTTTTTGCTAGGTAAGTCTCTCTTTTTATTAAATCATAAAGTGAGCATTCATCATCTTGACAGTGAACGAATTATGAGCTAAAGGCCTATCTGTAAAACTTGGCTTCTGTTAATTCCTCCCTGAGCCCAGTGAAACAAAACATCTGAGTCCAACCATGCACTCTTCCTCCAATGTGTATTCATTCTGATATCCAACTGTTTTATTTTTTTAGCCATTCTTTCTTTGAGCTTTCAGGTAGCTCTGTCATTATAGGTGCTACCTTTCAGGCTATGTTTTATGTACACTTTTGTGCCTGTCTTTGTGTTCAGACTCTGGCTTGAAGCCATCATGATGACTAAAGAATAAGAGAATGTTCAAAGATCATGAACCTTTGGCAGACAGTATGTGAACCCCTGTAGGTATCTGGTGACTTTGTATCTATGGAGTAAATAGAATGAATCAAAAGTAAGATCCTTTTAAAGGCCTACCTAGTAATAATGAGTTTGATCTAGGTCAAGGTCCCACAAAAGTAGCAAAATTAGTTTGCCAGTTTCATTGAGGTTCTTTTGCTTTGCCCAGACCAGCCTACAGAGGTGGATTTGGGTGTCTGGAATGGTGGGATGACCAAATCAACCCCCCAGCTTTAATTGTACTCATTTGGCCCAAATTATGATCATAAATCTGCTGCAGGAGAGGGGACCCCTTCCTGAGAGTAGGCTCTTGCCTCACACTCAGAAATGAATTGTCTGAGGGGACACACACACTAACAGAGCAAGAGATTTTTTGGGGCAGAGGCACCTGGGTGGAGAGCAGGAGGGTAAAAGAACCCAAGAGGACTGCTGTGCCACGTGGCTCAGTCTCAGGTTTTATGGGGCTGGGGTTAGTTCCAGGTGGTCTCTGGCCAATCGTTCCTTCCTGGTGAAGTCTGGTGGCATGTGTCACTCAGCCAAGATGGATTCTAGCAAGAAGGATTCTACGAGATCAATAAGACATACATAGCAGCATCTCCTCTCTCCTTTTGACCTTTCACAAATTTTTCCCATTGGTGGTAACTTGTTAGTTCTGTGTTCCTTACCAGGACCTCCTATTCTAAGATGATTCATGCAAGTGGCAACTATCTTGCCTGGCTGGGTGTGAGGAGTGGGGTGGGTGATTTCTGTCAGTGTTCCCCTTAAAAAATCCACTAGTTCAATACTTAATACTAATAAAAGCAATTTCCATTTTGAGTTTCCTCTGATCATAGATGGAGAAGGAAATGGCAACCCACTTCAGTATTCTTGCCTGAAAAATCCCATGGACGGAGGAGCCTGGCAGGCTACAGTTCATGGGGTCACATTACAGAAGTCTTCATATAGCCCTTACCATTTCACACCATACTGTAAAATTTTGGTATTTGATCCACAGGAAGCTAAGATAGAGAAGAGATAGATCCTATCCCAGTACAGTGGTTATCACCTTGGATTTGCTTTAGTGAGCAGTGTGAATCGACACACAGCCAAATTGCATTGTTACCCCAAAACATCATAACTCTAGAGTCACTGGCAAGAGGTCACTGAACTTAGTTTCAACAACTTCAGAATCAAGGATTCATGGCTTCCATGTTTATACTAGCTATGATGCAGGAAATTCACTAATACAAGAGACAGACTTGCAAAACAGTTTCTGAATTCAAGGAAATATAGAGAGTGTTTCCTTCTGTAAAGTGACAACATTGGTGGAACACCTTCAGATAAGAGAGGACATGTGGATGCTGGACTTTATATGGCTGGAGAGCTGGTTAGTAGGTCCTGTTTACTCTCGGCCAGAAGCTGAACCTCCGAAAGGGAATTCAGGAGTCCTTTTAAAGCTCCTGGTGATTTACTCTGATTTCCTTTCCTAGGCATATGGAGTCGATTTTCTACTGTCTCTATAAATACTGTTGTGTCTGTCTCTTTGCCAAACCAGCTACCTTTCTCACCCCAAGGAGAAGCCAGAGATCAGACATTCCTACACTCCAGCCCCATTAGACACCATGAGGGGAGGGAGCAGATTTGGCAGTCAAAATGATGTGTGTATTTGAATCTTGAAAGAGCCAGGCTATACTCAGAGTCAGTGGGCTCCCATAAATAACCTGTGTTCCTTCTCTCTTTGTGTGGTTTGGATTGGAATGCCTTTCTCTTTAGGGCTGTGCAAGTGGCCAGAGATCAAAGAGTCAACCGTTTATGGATGCATAGTTCATTACAAAGTCATCATGCTCAGCGGGAGGACTCTGGCCCAAGCACTCATAATTTTCTCCTATTACTATTTTGTTGCCTGGGTTGGGGTTTGGAGGGCACTCAAAGAACTTGCCACTGCTTTAAATAACTTTAAAAAAAAAAGAGTAGAGATGAAAATTCACTTTCAAAGGAGGGTTAAAGCTTAACTGGCATCTTTTTAGGCTATGGAATGTGGTAAGAGGGAATAGGAAGTAAAGAAATTGACCCAGTACCACAAGGAATGTGGTTTAAAAAGAATAATAGGCAGAACAGTATCCTGTGTAATTGACTTACCCTTGGGTCAACATTATGGAGAGCCTTTGATAAGCAGAGCAGAACATATACAAGGATTTTTTTTTTAAAGCTCAAACTAGATAATGTATTTGAAAAACAGGCTTTGAACTAGTTTGTTAGAATGTAAGGAATAAATGTGTTTCAAATTATAGCATTGGGTGATGTTAACAATCCCTAGATTGTGGATAATCACAATGATATGAAATAATAACTACTATTTGTTCAATGTCTGCTGTGTGCACGTGCTGTGCAGTGTAGGTGATATCTTTTAATCCTCCCAGCCATGCACAGGGAAGTGTCTTTTCCCCACTTACATACAGGGAAACAGGACTCTGCAAAATTTAAGTACTTTGCTCAAGGTCACTCAGCCATTAAGTGGTGAGCCCAGGATCTGAACCAAACTCTGGAATGAATCAGAATGACGGCCACTTAGCCTGTAGTTAGTGTTTCTGGCTCCTGACTCTTGCTCTGGCCCCTGTTGCAGGAGTTATTGGAGTGCCTTTGATTTCTGAGCTGGGGGAGCTTTGCAGTCTGTGGTTGCCGCTGTTCAGACTGGGGTCCATTCTCGCCAAATCCTGCTTCCCTGCATTTCCCCACCCCTCACCCACAGGTCCTGCTCTGGCTTCTAGGACTGCCACTGACCACCACCCACAGGCCTTCTGCAGGGAGCAGTCCCTAGAAGGCATTATGAGGAAAGTGCTTAAAAGAAATACTTTGTCAAATCTGTAAGGGACCATTATTGGACTTCATATTTAATTTGTATGGTTGTTGTTGTTTGTTCATTCGCTAAGTCGTGTCTGACTCTTTGCAATCCCGTGGACTCCCCCCGAAGGCTCCTCTGTCCTCCACTGTCTCCTGGAGTTTGCTCAGATTCATGTCCGTTGAGTCAGTGATGCTATCTAATCATCTTTGATCCTTTGCCACCCCTTTCTCCTTTTGCCTTCAATCTTTCCTATTAGTAGGGCGTTTAATTTGTATACAACACATAAAATACTTTGAAAGACAACTCATGACACTGAATGAATCTGTATGTTTATCCACAGGCTATCAGACTTGATCCCTGCACCTTTTACAACAGGTCGTGTAGCTAAGGTCCTTGATTTGTTGTTTTTGCATGGATCTCAGGGTCCGCATATCTAGTAAAATAACTTCCATCAAACACTTGATCAATTACAGGGATAGCCAAAGAACATTTCCCCAAATGTATTCTTTTAACAAGAATCATGTTCTAGTTTTTCAGACTTTTTATTACTTTAATTATAATCAAAGCTGAACTATGTGAATTCAAAAAGAAAATAGTATGCAGTGTAGTGCAAAGAACTCAGTGAATAGAGTCCATATAAAGTCTCAATGGCTATGGAATCTCGGAGAGCCTTTGTCCTTGTCACAGGTCAAACCTGCATCACAGGGATTCCCCAAGACCAGATAATTCAGATGATGGAAAAGCTAAAACCCTTTGCAAATGTGATCTTCTTTCCATGTTGCTACCTTTTGTTCATCCCATCTCGCTTTACTGCTTTAAAAAATAGTTTTAAAGGGTCAGAAATAGAAGCAAATAATCAATCTATTCTTTTTTACCAATTTAATTGAAAGGCAGTGGAGAGCATCAAAAAAATCCCATGGCTCTTCCCGGCTCCAAGTTTTCCTGAAAGATTTCACACGTGCCGTGGAAGAAATTGTGAGTCAGCCTTCCCCAGTCCCAACTTTAAGAGTTGCAGAAATCATCTGCCAGGCAGCACATATGTTCTTAGTTCCATGAGAGGAAGAAAACATATTTGTTGAAAAGAAATGGAAATTTTAAAAACCAGTTGAGTTGTAATAAAGACACTTCAGATTTTGCTAACTTCTTTCTCCCTCTGGTGCCTGACTGCTTTCCCCGCCCTGGACAGCGTCCCCTGCTTATGAGACAGCTGTCACCCCAAATGCTGTATCCCTGGGGTGTGGGCTCCACTTGGCTGTGGAAGACAGGCACAGGAAGTGCAGAATAACCAAAAGATGAAATTATGATGCCGAAATAATTTATCAACGATGACTCCTTGAATGCAGAGCACTCAAGAGCTGTAAATCCATTCTCTTATCAAGATCTTGTACAGTTCAGTGTGATAATAAACTTTGGTAATAAACTACAGTCTACAGTTGAGGGAACATGGCCATGATGAAGTAACTTGGCCAAGGTCACACAGCTAATGAGCCAGGCAGAGGCGAATAATACAACTCCTCAGTGTCATGTTACATAAGGGACCTCCACACATAGGGGAGGTATTCTCTTATTTTCTTCTGGGCAGTTGTCTTCAAGGAAGCATACTCATGACCCCCTAACATGCTTATAAACAGACTGCTGGCAGTACTGTTGCCTCTGTGTTATTAATAACACTGCAGGAATCAGATTCCAACAAGTTGTGGGTTTCTCTTGAAGCAAAAGAAATCAGTTACAGGGGAAATGAAACGCTCAATTCAGTGCTCTACCTAAAAAAATTTAAAACTCATTTGATGATACTTTTTG